TAATATCGATAATAAAGGTGACAGCAACAACAACAATAATAATAATAATAATAGTAATAATAATAATGAGAAAAATACTAATAAAACGCCAATAACAACAACTTTTTAAATTACTATTATTAAAATTATAATACTAAGACTAATAAATAATAATATGAATAATAATAATAATAAAAAATCGAAAATTATTTATTATTTATATGGTACTATAAATATATGTACTATATATATGTGTAATAATATATATGTGTAATAATAATAATATCAGCAAAAATTTGAACAATATGTAATGTTAATGCTAAGACTAATAATTAATATTAAAACTAACGGTAATAAAAACAACAATATTAATAACAACAATAATAAGAGCAATAATAATAACAATTAGTACAATGTAGTACCAGTAAATGACTTGTGGCCGAGTTGACTTGTGGCCGAGTTGATTTGTGGCCGAGATGACTTGTGGCCGAGTTGACTTGTGGCCGAGTTGACTGTAGCCAAAGTTGACTGTAGCCAAACTTTTTGTGGCCGAGTTGACTTGTGGCCGAGTTGACTTGTGGCCGAGTTGACTTGTGGCCGAGTTGACTGTGGCCGAGTTGACTTGTGGCCGAGTTGGATCGAATTCGTCCTAACATTCAATAGGCTTACATGCATGGAGTTAGAAGTTAGGTGGTCCTAGCTACTAACTAAGGCTCTAGCCTGTGTAGGCTAGGTAGTAGTAGGTCTAGGCCTAGCCTACTACTAGGCGTAGTGTAGCTAGTAGCACACACAAAATTATTATCCTTCAATTTACTTCAAATATAACTAAATTAAATCCTTTCCGAGCCACTGGGGCTCATAGGGCTGGAGCTATCTCCAGTTTCTGTAGTGTGAAGCGGATGAGAGTTGTACTCTCCCTGGACGGGACACTAGGCCTAGTCCGTCGCAGGTTAGTCCCAGCAGTTTGCTGGTACCCATTCATACAGCTGGGTGGACTGAAGCATTGTAGCTAAAGTGCCTTGCCCAAGGACACAAGCAAATCTGCACAGCGGAGATTCGAAACCCCGACCTTACGATTGAAAGCCCAAACCTGAACCGCTGCGCCAAACTGCCGCTTCAAATATAAGTTCACATTAATTCAATTGAAAGAACACATTGATGTTGCTGTCGTTTATAGGTACCTGACAAGAAAATTCAAACTTTATGAAACAGATTGGCTCATTCATCAAAAAATGTAGAAAAATAAATGCAATTTAATGGTATAAAAATTGTGAAAATCCATCAACCCACTGATTTTCTATGATTTTTTAAGTTAATTAATTTAAAGCCCCATTCCCGGCAAAATTTCACTAAAAATGACTTTTTTTTAGAAAATATGCATTTGCATTACTCCAATTATTATAAATCATGGAAAAATATTGGCATGAATTTTAGTTTTACGCAAAAGAATAAAAAAAATGAGAAATACAGACTTTCTCATAAAATATTACCATTTTCTCGACGAATTCATCGTTACTAGGCAAATTCAGAGGTTGTAGATCGCATCCACTGGAATACTCTCGCTTCTATGTATACTTTATACAGTCAATAAAGAGCGCCCTCTCTAATGAGATTACTTTTTGTACTTCGCATCTCGCACAATGCGGTCGTTTGGTTAGGCTGAGATATGTTTGTTTAAGTGTCAAAATCTCAGTCAGAATCAGTTTTTTAACAAAGTGGAAATAATTCCTATGAAATATTATATTTCACAAGTGTCAATACTAGCAACGGAAAATATCATGTCGGCCGTTTTTATGTGTGATAACAGAACCTAAATTGAGGTAAGGCTAGGCCTAGCCAGCAGCGTTGGATAGGCTAATGTTTTCGGCGCCTACGATATTTCTTCTCACGATCTATCGCAAAATCAACATGAAAAATTCATCCGCATTTATTTTTTGTGTGGAACACAAAAAATAAAATTTCAGTCTTATTTTACATTTTTTTCATTCTTAGGAATGTCTAAATTCAGTTAAACTAGCAATTCCGTATTATATTTATAAATCTTTATAACATTATACAAAAATTAGATTTTTCTTAAAAATTGAAATTTTGCCGGGAATG